GTTCATGCCAAAGAAATTCCCATGCACAAAAGTCCAACTTTCGATGCTTCTTGTTTTGTAGCAAAAGCTGAGTGAGCATTTGTGCGTTTCCATGTTGGTATATGTCGTAGAAGCGAACTTTCAATACTTCATTATTGAACTCTGTGACCATATATTTGCAGGTATATTCTGACCACAAAATAGATTTGTAAATATCAATAGTGATCATATTTAGACAACGAATCGAAGACTGATTAATGACGATATCAAGCAGAATGTCAAGAGCATCCTTGGAGAATGAGCATTTTTGACATGTCAGCTTCACAATATTGGAACCTTTTGTGAGGGCATCACACAGCATCCTAACGTTCTTGCTGTTATATTTCACTTGACTTACGACTGCTTCATTAGTCTTTTCATTGAATTGACATCCTGTGGCTACAAAATCACGAATATATTTATGAATTTTATTATTGAACCTAATAACTTCGTATTTTTATGAGACATCCAAAAAATATAATCCTTAATAGTTGCTGTTTGAAATAAGTTTTCGAAACAACTTTTACTATCGACAAACTCTAAATATGTTTCAAGTTCATGAAGCATTCAGTCTTGAAGTAGCATTTGATAGAACAGAAATAAAAAAATAAACTCAACTTATTTGTAAACAAAAACAGTGATTACCAACTCTAATTTGATCAATGTGTCACAGTCTGACTGTAACGTAACGATGGACTCGGTTCGGCTTTCTTTAATTTAAGTCTAACCCAACCGAAAAAAAGATTCTTTTTAAAAATTCCATTAGATACAACTAAAATTGGTAATTATTCTTGGAACTCTAATCGAGCGATTTCTTCGATGTCATTGAAGAACCTTCGTTAAATATTTAATTATTTATTTATATTTCTAACCTAGATAAATCATTTCAAATCTTCCATAGTGTCGTCACTATGTTGGCAACTGTTTCAATATTTAGTACTTGGCAAAACATTTTAACAGAAAACTGATCTGAAATATTTATCCTTGCGAAACAATCAGTACAGCCGGCATCTTCTAATGTTAGATGTCTGATGTTATTATTTACATATGTATAAATAAATCTATTGCTTTTTACTGACTATTTATTTTTATTTTATTCAAATTAGAAGGAATATTAGTATTACATTAAATTGTGTTTAATTAGTCGTCACCTAGATACTATTTTCCTTGAAGAATATAATTAGTTTGTTAACATTCTGTTTCCTTCTTAGATAAAGTAGGGCAAGAAACAACAAGAATACTTTCATTGTTGCTTATGAAATCTTTTTTAATCAACATCTCTCTTATGTAACCTAGAACCTACCAAAAAAGAAAGAAATGTGTATCAAGAAGAAAATCGTCTGTTCAAACAATGTTTGTACTGTTGACACAATCTGATGATTTCCACTGATCATCGAATACGCCTAATCTACACACATAGAATTACAATGTTATATAGAATTCAGATATCGAGTTTTTATCATACTTTATTTCCGAATATATATGTAAGCCTAATGAGTGTTTACTTGCTCTTCTAAATCATCGCAAGTAGATCGACAATGTTAATCAAAGAAATGTGCCTCATTTTCCATAGATGCCATCCTTTATACTTTGTTTCGATTTAATTACTTTTTTCTTTTGCGTATGATTGATTGTCAAGCAAACGAAATATAGTAGACATTATAGTGTCACTTTAAAAAAATATTGAAATTTTTAGAAATTAGAACGAAAAATTTATATAGGATCCTCTTAACTATAAAGCATATTATTTTCCGCTATGAGAGGTTGTTAAAACTAATACTGGTCAAAAAATATATCAATTATATCACAAATAAATTATCTCAATAAGAATGGGCAACGATTAACATGATTTAGCCATGTTTTTTTAGTGTTTTCTAGTTGTTTGTATATAAATGTTACATAAATTAGATCGATAGAACTGTTTTAATCGAAGATAATCTCATTCAACTGATTTGAGAATAATGAAACTAGCAAAATAAAAAAGCAACCGAAGACGAGTTGTGAATTAGAAGACTAAAACATTAGGAAAAGTTACATTTATTTTTCTGTTCATTTAGTTGATCTCGATCTTTGCGTATGTTTTTCACTTGTATCAATTACATCGTCTATTCAATGCAGAAAACGGTTATAACCCAAGAGAAAATGACAGTATCCTTTATTAGATACTAATATAAGAAGCGATAATTATAATGAAACCCAAAGTTCGCGAAAAAATCAGCGATAAAAATTGACAGATTATACCTCAAATTTCTATTGTGAGCGACTTTTTGTAATGTGAACTCTGAACTGAAGTAACACTTCCAGCTATTATACAGCATGCCTACTATCGATTCTATTCACTACTATCATGTTATGTGATCGGAATCTTACGTCAATTATAGTAAGTGTTGTCCGACCAGAATTTAAAATGTTCGTAGAAAGTCTGTAAAGTTTTTAGAGATTCACAATTACGAACATATTTGACTATATAATAGAAATAAAGTAATAGTTTCAACTGCATATGCCTTAATGAGAAAAACATCCATCAGTGAATAGTTCTTCTTTTACTAGTGGTTTTAAATAATTTCAACACTACATAATTTTATCATAATATTGGATGTTGGTGTGTTGGTTTGAATCTGATTGGAGTAAAGAAAACTCATCCACACCAACAGAACATACAACAGTGTGTAAAATTGAACGGTGAATCAATCGCACGACACATAGCGATGTAAGATGTAAAATAAAGTAAAGCTTTAAAGTCAGAAAAAACTCTACTTGTTTAAATATAATGTTAATAAGAGAATATGAGAAGGAATCATTTAGGTCATTATTATTCGACGAATATCAATGAGCAGAACGAGATGATAGATAAAATATTTACGACAACTGTAACTAATACTTCAACATTCTTTGGAGGTAGGTGGGAAGTGAAAGTTCAAACGAGTCTTCAGCGCACATCCTTTGCTTGAATTGAAGCTCAACAAAAAATTTAGACACTAATTATCTACGTCCTATTGGCATAGTTCTCAAAAATTATGTGGTAGTTGAACATAATAAAACATCGAAGGATATTTCCATTCACTTATATAGTATACTATTACACAAAAAACAGCTTCGATTCACTCCTCATTAGTATCATGATGTAGAAATATTGAAAGAGTGTAATAAATATCAGTGCTATTGTGAAAAGTGTCTGAAGATAATCGTCAGAGAAGGTAAGATTTAGAATTAGAGAAGATGATTATCAATGATTCTATCGATTCCACTCTAACCATCAGCTATTTCGAACATATCATATGGTTCTTCAGTACGGAAAAATCATGATTTTTTTATAAGACCATTAATAACTTTTTATGAGCTTCGTTTTTCTGAACTTTTAAAATTGCGTTTTTCCAAATGAAATATTAGTTTTTATATAGGACATCTGTTTCTACGTAATAGACCTGCTTTCGATGAAGTTACTCATACGATTGCTTACCTGCTAGCTCATTTTTTTGTTGCAGTGCAATAGCTTTTTGACGCCATTTCATACTCTTGCCAAAGTTACCGACTTGTGATGCGAGTTTACCAAGATCCTGATACAAATCATAAAGTATTGGGTCACTGGGTGGAAGTTGTTCTAACAAGCGCATAAAATATTTTTCAGCCAAATCAGTTTTATTCATCTCTGACAGTAATCTTGCTAATGTTCGAAGATCTGTTTTTCCACTTCCAAGTTGTTGTTTCATATTCATAAGAACATATTTTAATTCGTGTTCATTATCACTACATAAAACCATTCGGATAACCCATACTTGACTGTCGCCACTGCGATGGATGCTTTTTAAACGAAAAATAGAACCAAGCATAAAAAGTATTTCTGCTTCTCTGGGAAATTGACTAAACGGACTGATATCAGCGAATGGTTTTGTAGTGGCCATTGTAGGATCAGCATCGATTTCAAACAATACCCGTTCTAAACGGTCTGTAGCATTAGTAGGGTTCAGGAATGTAAGAGCTCTCTGTTTGTCCATACTGGTGGAAAGAAATGAATTCACTGATATAAATTGATCCAGGTATTGTTTCAAAGTTTGCAATTCATCACTTGACATCATCTGGCCTCGATAAACTTGTAGACGATTTTCAGCTTGATTATTTTTCAATTGACAATGCATATCCGAAATAATTGCACGTAATAGAAAAATTAAATGAATATCTTGGTTACGTAGAGCAGCATTGAGAGTTTTGTAGAAGAATGACTGTCTTGTGTACCACCACAAGACTTGGTTAGGTGAATAACTATTTTCAAATTCATCAATATAGCTCAATTCAAAATCGTTCTCTTTATATTCCTGTTTACAAAGATGAATAAGCTCTTCTTTATCTATTTTATTGGACTCTAGCCGTTGAAGACAATCAATCAAAACTTGAGAGAACGCAAACTGACCATTTACACCCATTGTTGATGTACCCATTGCTGATGTACCTGTATTAGTACTTGTAGTAAAAATATTAATTGAAAATGGTTCTTCTACGATTTTTTGCATTCTGTGATCAGTTTCAATTCGAGAGATAAGCTCATTAAGTTCAACGATAACTGCTTTTACCTATAAATAACAAAAAATTATAAAACGAAATCAAATTCCTTCATTTTTAGTTTACTTTTTCGAAATTGCGAGCCCATTGTTCATGACTTTTCTTATC